TAGTCAGACCCATTCTAACAATGATCAGAAACCTTCCAAGCTTTAACTTTTAACATAATTATAAATAAACAGTGATCGTATGGTGAAACAAGGTAGAACTACTTCATGTAGTCATTCAATGAATATCTCCTGACGCCTAGCTACATTCCAGGTACTGTACTGATGTCAGTTGAATAGATTGGTCTCTGCCCTCAATGGGCCTCCAGTCCAATGGGAGAGCTAGAAATAACAAAGTCAACCTCCACATAATAAATAACTACTGTGATTAGGAACAGCCAAAAAAGGAGAGACATAAGGTGTTGAGATAGACAAAAAGAGTAGAAACCCACAAGAGTAAGACTACCGAAGCCCAACAAATAGCTTTTTCAAAAACAACCCCAAAGAAATTTCTGCAGAGAACAGGGATGTGGTATCTAAAACATCATTAAAAGGCAAGTCTAGGTTGGGTGCAGTGGCCCATTCCTGTAATCCCAGCACTTTGGGAGGCCAAGGTGGGTAGATTACCTGGGCTCCGGAGGTTGAGACCAGCCTGGGCAACATGGTGAAACCCCATCTCTACAAGAAATACAAAAATTAGTTGGGCATGGTGCTAAAAAGAGGCAAGACAAAAGAAAGAAGAGATAGTTTAAAGTGGAGAGTATCTAAAGGAAAGAAAATCGATGTTTTGTATCATTCAGTCTTTCCATTTCATTTAATCTTCATCAAGAAAAGCTGTGTCCAACCTTGAGGTGTGATAATCAATATATGTGACACAGTTTCAACCTATTAAGTCTAAATTCATAAATATACATATTAACTTACAGTGTAATTTTCAAGCTATTGCATATGTCAGCCCAACTTTGGGCTCTAGGTGCAAGCATCCACTGCTACTTGATTCAACTGTAAGACAGGAGGTGAGGGCGCTGCAAAAGAACTAAAGCCTATAGGAGTAACATGCCTGAGGCAGCCCTGGTGTCAGGGCATGGGAGGAGAACAAGTGCTGGACAGCTGGGGGCCAACTCCAAAGGTGGGAAAGGTAGCCAGTCCTTTCTAAAAGCAGAAATCTCTTATTAAGGCCGCCAGAAAATGATGTGTTATCTCCTGACATCTCTAGTTGGCAAGAGGCAAACACAAAAATTAAGAAAAAGACAAGTTTACGATGACAACTTTGTCTCCACCAGCCAGCATATTTTTGGAAGTGACGGCTCCTTAAATCAATTCTGTCTCTCCCTGCTTATTAGCAGCAACTCCTCACTATATTAGCATAAGTCTATCAAAAGCTAGGAAAGAACATCTCATTACTTTTGAAGTCTTAACGAGTCTTAATGTGTTACTGGGAATCAGAAACATTTCATAATCTGGCCTTGGGGTTAAGTTTTGAGATGTAGATGTTAGCTCAAGGTCTGTCATTAACTACCTGATCTGGATAAGTCCACCTCTTTGATTGTCCAGGATAATATTACATGTTCATGGTACTTCACAGCAGTGGAAGTTGGTAGAAAAAAGGCTAGAGAAATAACTATGAAATGCATGTTATCACTGAGTCATGCTTTGTAATGTAGATGATGACAGGCTAACCACACATTAGTGATGCTAAGTTGACTGTGTGTGCAAGAGAAGGTGTGGCTTATTCTCCCAGCCCCCAGTAGTTTGTTCTCTCACACCCTTGCTCATCCACTCATTCAGTAAACATTCATGGAGCCCTCTTTGTGTACTAAGCACGGTCAGGAGCTGGAAATGCAGACATTAGGCATGATGGCTGCTAAGTCGTCATCTGGCCTGCAGGGACATTCATCAATAGGACTAAGTTCATTTGATCATCTGTATTATTGAACTATTTAACCAACAAGTATCCATTAGGGTGCTATGTATTACATACCCAGACTCTTCTAAATCCTGGTTGGGAGGTACAGAAAGTGGGCAACATGTGGGTGGGTCAGAAAATGGGCAAAACATGGATGGGTCAAGCACCACAGCAAGTATCCTTCGGTTCAACCAGTTTGGCCCCCATTTTTGGCTCTTACTCATCTGTGTCAGCAATTCCTGCCTTCAATACATACTGAAGACATCAAGGAAAAACAATGCCCCGCGGAACAGAACTCCAGGGGATCCCATGCTATCTAAAGAAGAAACTAATTGCAAGCTTACTATAATGTTCATGATGCAGAGGTGGCTGGGGGAAGCCAGCTCCTGTTGGAACAGAGGGTTGACACCAGGAGATAGAGTGGAATACACAATGGGGCCTCATAGCCAACTTCATCTCCAGGTACTCCTCTGCCACCATCCTTCTTTGGGGCTGATGTGTGCAGGAGTGCTCGGATGCCAGTGAGCTCTTAGAAAATACCTCAGTGGGGCATGGTGGGTCATGCCTGTAATCCCAGCACTTTGGGAGGCTGAGGCAGGCGGATCACAAGGTCAGAAGATCGAGGCCATCCTGGCTAACATGGTGAAACCCTGTCTCTACTAAAAATACAAAAAACACAAACAAATTAGCCGGGCGTGGTGGTGTGCGCCTGTAGTCCCAGCTACTTGGGAGGCTGAGGCAGGAGAATTGCTTGAACCCAGGAGGTGGAGATTGCAGTGAACTGAGATTATGCCACTGTACTCCAGCCTGGCCAATAGAATAAGACTCTGTCTCAAAAAAAGAAAAAGAAAGAAAGGAAAGAAAGAGAGAGAGAGAGAGAGAGAGAGAAAGAAAGGCAGAAAGAAAAAAAGAAAATGCCTCAAGTAGCAGAGAGCCAAAAGCATTGATGGAGGAGAAGACAGGAGGCAGTCAGGCTAGTCCTGTGGGCATGCTACCGTAAGAGCCCAGCCTGGTGTGGGAGAAAAGAAGGGGTAATTCTAGAAGCAAATGAGTAAGATCAAACAGAGGTTAGTAACTGATTAAATAAACAGCAATAAATGAAAGAAAGATGTAAGAACAAATCATGCAAAACCTCAAAACTAAGGAAATTGAGAGGGAAGGATGGAGGCTTTCAAATAAATGGGAATAAATATGCACTTGATTGAGGACCTGCATGAAAAAAGGTCTGATTTTGAATAGGCTGAGTTTGAGGTGAATTCCAGGGGAAAGCCAAGCTTAGAAAGCAAGGGAGACCCTGAGCCAGGCACACATATCTGTGTCCTTGGGATAGATCAAGTTTCTAAAGGAATGTCCATTAATCAAGAGCGGCCATAGTTGAGATGAGAAGCCACGGCAGAAGATGAAGGACTGCCTGCAGATGCTCACCCACACAGAGGTGTGTGCTGTGTTAAGGAAAGAAAGATATAAGCAAAAAAAAAAAAAAAGGTCAGCCATCACATGCTGTAGGGAACAAGGAGCGTGAAGCCTGGGAGAAGATCATCCTTCTCTTTCTCCAGGTCTCTGTAGACAGTGGGTGTGAGTGGGAAACTGGATTATTGTTCAGCATATATCCACTGCTGTTGGAGGAATATATTCTCTGCCTTACTGATGTTGGGCTGGATGTGTGATTTGCTTTAGCCAATGAAATGTCAATGGACAAGAGGGAAGCAGAGGCTTGAAATGTCTCTCTTTATTTTGCTTTGTCTCTTGCAATCTAAACTTTTACCATCTCGACTTGTGGACACAGAAGGAGCTGACTTAAATTCAACAGGCAGTATAAAACACAGAACCACCCCAGTTTACCCACAGACCCAGAATACGAAATACATGCTTGTGGTTAAATGTCTCTGGGTTGCTAAATGGCATTATTGGAGGAAAACCTGACCAGTACTGTGTGAGTTGTGGGTCTGACACAATTAAATAAGCTCCTTCAGGGATGGTACCCTCTGGGTCTCCTTATTACTGAGCTCAAATCATAAAAGGACAAGCAAGATGAAAAACAAAGCCTGTTTCAACCAGTTCAAAGAGGAACTTGGTGACTATATACTGGGGTTATTTTCTTAAAGCCAGAGAAGTCAAAAGTTACACATTAAATATCTTAAATATTGATTGTTACATAAAGTTTTACAAAATCAACCAAAAAAAAAAAAAAAGACTGGGGAATTTTTTATCTTGCCCCAGGGTAAAGTGCAAGATGTACAAAGTCAGGGATATTGAGATTTGATAAGTTCACATAATTTTTACAGAATTGGTTGTGGCAACAACCAGCTGGCAGCTGACATGGAACCAAGAGGGAAAGATTGAATATCTTTATTAATCAACAGATTCAGAGTCCCACCCTGCCCCTTCTCCTGTTCTAACAGGAATGCCATCGCAAGCTTTGGGACCATGAATAAAGGATTTGGGACAAGAGATAAAGGAAGAAATGTCTGGTGCTCAACAGTGCCTCTACCAGGTCTTCAGGGCATCTAACAGGTCCCTGCCCTATGGCACAGGTGCAGAAGTGTCAGGCCCTGGTGCAAGAAAGACTAGGTCATTCTGAATTCCAAGCTCTCATGCTTGTCAGTGACAGGCTCATGACACTTTTCCCTGCATCAGTGTGATCTGTTTTTTGTCTTTGGGATGACACTACTATTTACCAGATTATCCCTCCCAGGTACAATGGGGATAACTCACACCTAGCAATTTCAAGAGTTCTGCTTTTAAAAAAGGTCATGAGCCCGGGTGCAGTGGCTCACACCTGTAATCCCAGCACTTTGGGAGGCTAAGGCAGGCAGATTACCTGAGGTTGGGAGTTCGAGACCAGCCTGGTCAACATGGTGGAAACCCCCTCTCTACTAAAAATATAAAAATTAGGTGAGTATGATGGTGCACATTTATAATCCCAGTTACTTGGGAGGCTGAGGCATGAGAATTGCTTGAACCCAGGAGGTGGAGGTTTCAGTGGGCCAAGATCACGCCACTGCATTCCAGCCTCAGTGACAGAGAGAGACTCCGTCTCAAATAAATAGCATAAAAATTAAAAAGCTCATTTGAAACATAAAAGATGATTTCATTTAGGCTATTTCAGAGGTCATTCAAGATGACCAACTATAATCCTCTTGTTAAGCTGCTGACTTACACGAAGAAGCTTACAAAAGCCTTCTGAACTCATTTTGTTCTTAGCCTTTCAGAAGGAGTAGAAATTCAAGAGTCAGGAGCATAAGACGAGTCCACAGAGTGTCCCACTCATTCCTGCAATTGCCTCTCTTTATGCTCTAGTCCCTACTGTGGTATCAACTTTTTTTCCTCAAGCAGATACAGCTGAGCCTAAGTGAGTCACTTCACAGATAAGGCTGCCTTTTGGAAGCCAGCCATGGTCAGAGAGAAGGTCACAGCAAGACAGAACACAGAGACTCAGCTAGGAAACCCACCCTATTTGAGAAGGAGCCCAACTTTGGATCTTACAAGAAAGGAGTGACATCAGGAAGCAGAAGCTGGGGAACTGTGGTGTTGCAAGCTATAATCCCTGCAGCAAAGGACAGACTATCTTCCTCCTGCAAACAACATTCAGCATCTGGAGGGTCTGGGCCCTTTCCTTCCTCCGTGCTCTTGCCTGATGAGAAACTCCTCTGCCTGGAATGGCTTTTCTCCCCTCACCCTTTAGGACCCAGCTAAAATGTCACCTCCTTGGAAGCCTCTTGTTTCACTGCCTCACCACCCAAGTAGGTAGAGTGAGGCACAGCCCTCTTTGTTCAGACCTTTATCGGTGCACTTCTCATGTGGTAGATTAATAATTTACATGTTTGTTGCATGCTCCACACTGTGAGCTACTGCAAGGCCAAGAATTCCAGCTATTATTCATGCATATATCTCCAGGCTCAGCATTAGCCCTGGCACAGACTACATACTCATAAAATATTTTCAAAATGGCAGTACCCGAGTTTAGAATGAAATTGGAAACTCTTTAAGGAACAAAATAAATGTCAAAATATATTCTATCTACTTTTTCTTCACAGAGTTCTGGAAAGGACTGAGGGTAAGAAAAAAACATTTGTCTTGTGAAGTAAAATCTTACCAGTTTGGATTAACTGGGAGTCAGTCTCAATTAGCAAAAAACCATAATTAGAAATACCTGTAATGATAATTTTAAATGTTCAAAGACCCACTGTACACTGAACAAGGCTAATGATGCAGCAATGGCATAGTCACCAGTGCATGGGACTGCTTTAAAGAACAGATAGAAATAATTTGACTCAGTCTATCAACTGTTCATTTACATCAATATGTTAAAGATGTCCTTGTTGCAATCCTGCTTTTGTAATTCATTTGCTTAAAAACCCCTGCTTTTTGCCCTCTTTTGGGGGAGCTGAGGTAGGAGGGTAAAAGGGACTATCTCTGGAATTGTATTAATCATATATAATCTTTGGATTGTGACACTCTTCCATCATGCACAGCCTATATTCATGTATTCATGTATTTATTCATTCAGAGATGGGGTCTCATTCTGTTGCCCAGGCTGGAGTGCAGTGGTGCAACCATAGCTCACTGCAGCCTCAAGCTCTTGGGCTCAAGTGACCCTCCTGCCTCAGCCTTGCGAGTAGCTGGGATGACAGGTGTGTGCCACCATGTAGCTGCTTTCATTTATTTATTTTGTAATTTTAAATAATGTACTAAACACGCACAAAACCACTACCCAAAACAAAAGCCAAGATCTAATCATTCGCTACCTCCCAGTGAGTCCTTCCGCAGCCTGAGTTAGGTCCCATCCCTAATCCCTCAGCAATCACTCCCTGGCTCTCCTTTCTACACAGGTTTTATTGCGTCTATCTGTATTTCAAAAAGTATATTTTTATTTTTATCTTTAACTCTATTAAAAAGATGTCATCCTGTAGGTAAAGTTTTAGGATTTCCTTTTTTTTTTAAGTCTTTTTTCTTTAGGATTTCCTTTTTCACTTATTATTATAGTTCTATAAGTTAGCCATATCTTAGGGTTCACTGCGGCTCATTTGTTGTTGAAACCTAATAATCCATTTTAGGACTGCACCCTCGTTTACTCATCTCATCCCTCACTAATGTCATGTGGGTTGTTTCCAGAATTTTGCTATTGTTTACAGTGCAGCTTTGAAGATTCTTGTTCATGCACAAGACTCTCTCTTGGATATTACACCTCAAGTGTAACAGGTATGTACACATGCGACATTATTTATTGATTCATTCATTTACTGAGACAGGGTCTCATTCTGTCACCCAGGCTGAAATGCAGTGGTGTGATCAAAGCTCACTGCAGCCTCAAAATCCCAGGCTCAAGTGATCCTCCCACCTCAACCACCTAAAGTGCTGGGATTATAGGTATGAGCCACTTCACCTAGCTAATATTCAACTTCAGATGGTAATGACAAACTCCTTCTGATGTGGTTATGCCAATTTACTCTCCCACAAGTCATTTAAAAGATAGCTTGTGGTCTGGTCGTGGTGGCTCATGCCTGTAATCCCAGCACTTTGGGAGGCCCGGGCAGGCAGATCACAAGGTCATGAAATCGAGACCATCCTGGCCAACATGGTGAAACCCCATCTCTACTAAAAATAGAAAAAAAATAGCTGGGTGTGGTGGCGCATGTAGTCCCAGCTACTCGGGAGGCTAAGGCAGGAGAATTGTTTGAACCCAGGAGGTGGAGACTGCAGTGAGCTGAGATCATGCCACTACACTACAGCCTGGGCAACAGTGTGAGACTCTATCTCAAAAATGAACTGACATCTCCTCCAACAGTTGATATTGTCAGACTTGTTAATATTTGCCGCTTCTTATCAGTGTAGAATCCATGGAGCTATCAGCATTACAAACAAGTGTAATCTAAATTAATCAGTATTTCGAAATAAGAAAATGTATTTGATTACAAAAGTAACTTTCACTGTAGAAAATTTGTAAATATAAAAAAACACCAAAATGGAAAAAAACATAACAGCTATAGTTTATCAAGGTTTAATATTCCTTTACAATGAAGGAACATTACCCCATTAAAGGGCAGTCTACAATTGCAATTTATTTAAAACCCCCAGGACTACTCCTTCCAGACCTGACATACTACTGAACAAAGCCCTACCCAGTCTTAGATTCCCTAAAGTGCCACTGCACTGTTCTGGGAGCCCAGGGAACAATCTACATACTGCATGATGCTGGCTAAATATCAGAGTTAAAAACTGAAGATGTGTTTTGAAATTCATAACATTTCCCTTATGGGAGGTTCATGTTCTATACAGTGGTTTCAATCTACGCCTCTTTTGATCTGGGAGGAAGGGACTGGAAGTTCTTATTAAACACTTAATAAAAGCACTTCTTTATTTTAAAATCCATTTTCAGAAACTCCTTTGTAGCATTTTACTTCCTTTCAGCAGCAAGATACATTAAGGAGAGCAAAAACAGTCTGCGGAATAACAAGAACACCATGGTTAGGCTGTGGGTAATTGAATAAAGGTGTCCCCCAAGGCACAGAGACTCAGTTTCTAGGGGCATAGTGCATTTTACAAACGCTAGCCCAGCATAAACAGAGTTTGCTTACAGCACATTTTCTGGAGACTAAATTTCAAACTTACTGATATCTAACCATGAGTCAGGCACTGTGATAGTGAAAATTCAGAAAGAAGGGCACAGCACCTACCCTCTAGGACATCACCATCTGCTTAGAAAAACATACAAACTACATAATTACAAAACCGGAAAGAATAAAACAAGTGCTATTAATAGGTACACAGAGGGAAGCAAAGACCTGATTTGGACCAACAAGGATGGGAATAATTCTGATGAAAGTAGCGTGAAATATTAACAGAGTTCCAAAGGGTGACTGGACTATCTATAGGAAAAGATAGTCTACATAACACATTCAGGCAGAAGGGAGAAGCACTTCATTTGGAGAACCAGTCAGCTGCTCATGCAAACATTTCTTAAGCATCTACTATGTTCCAGGACTGCCCTAGAGACTGGGAATACAGAGGTGAATGAAACTAACAATGGAGCTTCTGAAAGGCTTTTCTGAGAAGGTAGGAATTTGAAGGATGAAAAGAACCAGCCACCCCAAAAGCAATGGGCAGAACTTCACTGAGAGAAGGAAGAGCATGTGGCGAACTCTAAGGTGGGAAAGCCCTTGGTGCAAACTAGGGGGTGAAGGAGGCCAGGGGGCCACATGGAGATGCCAAGATGAAGAAGGATTACAGGTGTTGTTGAAGGGTGTGCAAAAGCCAGATCACACAGGCATACAGGTCAGCAAAAGGAAAGTAAGCTGGAGTCTAAAGACCATCAGAAACACTGAAGGAATTTAAGTGTGTTTGGGGAGCTTTGTGATGGGTAGGAGGGCAAAGAAGCAGAATCCCAAATACATCTTTGAAAGAGCACTCTGGCTAATGGGTTTAGAAAGCCATGAGAGAGGGAGGGAGAAGAGAAATCACATAGGAAGTGGTAGCAGCGGTTTAGGTTAGAGAGGATGTTGACCTGCACTGTGCATGTAGCTGTGGAGACAGAAGTGGATTGATTAAACACGTATTTTCAAAATACTTTTTAAAATTTTGGTAAAAAACATAACAAAGTTTACTCTCATAACCATTCTGAATATATGGTAGTGTTAACTATATGTATCTTCTTGTGAAACAGAACTCGAGAAATTTTTCATCTTATAAAACTGAAACTCTACGTCCATTAAACAACTCGCCTTTACTCCTCCTATCCATCCCTGAAGACCACCATTCGACTTCCTGTTTCTAAGAGCTTGGCTACTTTAGATACCTCACTGTGAAATAAGCCAATCACAAAAACAAATATTACTAAATGAAATCATGTAGTATTTGTCTTTTTTGTGTGTTTATTTCACTTAGCATAATGACCTCAAACTTCATCCATGCTGTAGCATGTGACAGGATTTCTTCCTCCTCTTCTTCCCCGGGTACAGTCTTGCCCTGTCACCTAGGTTGGAGTACAGTGGCACAAGCACGGCTCACTACAGCCTCAACCTCCCAAACTCATGTGATTCTCCCACCTCAGCCTCCCGAGTAGCTGAGACTATAGGTGCACAATTGCATCCAGCTAGTTTTTAAAAAAATTTTTGTGGAGACAGAGTCTCACTGTGTTGCCCAGGAAAGTCAGGAATTCATGAGCCTGATCCTCCTGCCTCGGCCTCTCAAAGTTCTGAGATTACAGGAGTGAGCCACCATTACCGGTCGATTTTCTTCTTTTTTAAGGCTGAGTAATAGTCCATCATATATATTCCATTGTATACACATTTTTAAAATCTGTTTATCCAGAGATGAATTTTTAGGTTGCTCCTAACCCCTGGGTATTATGAGTAGTACTGCAATGAATCTGAGATCATGCTTTCAGTTCTTTCATATATACCCAGAAATGAGATTTCTGCATTGTTTACTAATTCTATTTTTAATTTTTTGAGGAATAACCATACTGTTTTCTGTAGCAGCTGCACTATTTTACATTCCCACTAACAATGCACAAGGGTTCCAATTTCTCTACATCGTGGCCAACACTGGTAATTTTCTATTTTTTTGAAAGTGACCACCCCGGTGGGGAAAAAATTTCTCATTATGGTTTTGATTTGCATTTCGCTGATGATTAGTCATGTCAAACATCTTTACATATGCTTGTCGGTCATTTGCATACCTCTGAAGAAATGTCTATTTAGGTCCTTTGCCCATTTTTAAATTGAACTTCTTGTGGTTAAGTTGTAGGAGTTCTTTATATATTCTGGATATTATCAAATACATGGTTTGCAGATAATTCCTCCCATTCATAGGCTGCCTTTTTGCAATGTTAATTATTTCCTTTGCTGCACAGAAGTTTTTAAGAAGTTTGAAGTAGTCCTCTTTAACTATTTTCTTTTGCTGCTTATGCTTTTTTGTATCATAACCAAGAAATTATTGCCAAATCCAATGTCAAGTAGCTTTTCCTCTATATTTTCTTCCAGGAGATTTATACTTTCAGGTCTTATGTTTAGGTCTTTAATCCATTTTGAGTTAATTTTTGTACGTTGTATAAGTAAGGTTCCAACATTTTTCCTTTTGCATGTGGATATCCAGTTTTCCTAACACCATTTATTGAAGAAATTATTCTCCCCCCATTGTGTTGCCTTTGTACCCTTATCAAAGATCATTTGACATACACATAAGGGTTTATTTCTGAGCTATTTATTCTATTCCATTGGTTTATATGTCTCTTTATGTCAGTAACATATTGTTTTGATAACAGTAGTTTTATAATTATATATTACACATGTTATATATAATACATAATTACAATATATGTACATATATACTGATACATTGTAATTATATATAATATAGACATACATAAACGCATACATATAATATATATGTGTATACATAGGTACTTTTTTTTTTTTTTTTGAGACAGAGTCTCGCTCTGTCGCCAGGCTGGAGTGCAGTGGCACCATCTTGGCTCACTGCAACCTCTGCCTCCTGGGTTCAAGCGACTCTCATGCCTCAGCCACCCAAGTAGCTGGGGTTACAGGTGCACACCACCACACCCAGCTAATTGTAACAATATTTTGAAATCAGAAAGTATGATGCCTCTAGTTTTATTTTTTTCCTTAAGAGTGCCTTAGCTATGTGGGGTCCTCTGAGATTCTAAATGAATTTTAGAATTTTCTTCTATTTCTGTAAAATATGCCACTAGGATTTTTTTTTTTTTTTTTTTTTTTTTTTTGAGATGGAGTCACCTAAGTTGGAGTGCAATGATGTGATCTTGGCTCACTGCAACCTTTGCCTCCTGGGCTCAAGCGATTCTCCTACCTCAGCCTCCTGAGTAGCTGGGATTACAGGCGTGTGCCACTATACTTAGCTAATTTTGTATATTTAGTGAAGACAAGCATGTTGGCCAGGCTGGTCTCAAACTCCTGACTACAGATGACCCACCCAGCTCAGTCTTCCAAAGTGCTGGGATTACAGGTGTGAGCCACTGAGCCGGTCCGTCACTAGGATTTTGACAGGGATTATACTGAATCTGCAGATCACTTGGATAGTATGGATGTTTTTGACAATATTAACTCTTGTAGTCCATGAGCACAGGATATCTTCCATTTATTTGTGTCTTCTTTAATTTCTGTCAGAATTTTTTGTAGTTTTCATCACATGGGTCTTTCCCTTCCTTGGTTAAGTTTATTCCTGAGTATTTTGTTCTTTTTGATGCTTTGGTAAATGGGATTGTTTTCTGAATTTTTTTGTTCTTTGTTAATGTAAATAAACACACTTAATTTTTGTTCATTGATTTTGTATCCTGGAGATTTACTGAATTTGTTTATTAGCTCTAATAGTTTTTATGTAGAATCTTTTGAGTTTTCTATGTATAAATAAGATCATGTCATCTGTGAATAGAGACAATTTTACCTCTTTCCTTTTCAATTTGGATATTTATTTCTTTTCCTTATCTAATGGCTCTGGCTAGCACTTCCAGTACTATATCAAACAGATATAACAAAAGAAGGCAACCTTGCCTTGTTCCTGGTCTTACTTAAAATATTTTCAAATTTTTGCCCATTAGTATGATGTTAGCTGTGGATTTTTCACATATGGCCTTCATTATGTTGAGGTAATTTCCTTCTATTACTAGCTTGCAGTGTGGTTTTTATCATGAAAGGGTGTTAAATTTTGTTAAATGCTTTTCTGCATCATCTCAAATAATCATATGGTTTTAATCCTTCATTCTGTTAATGTGGTGAATTATACTGATTGATATTCATAGGTGACCATCCTTACATTCCAAGAATAAATCCCACATCATCATGGTGTGGAATCCTTTTAACGTAATATTGAATTCAGTTTGCTAGTATTTTTTGAAGATTTTTTCCATCAATATTTTTTATGATAAATATTGGTCTGTAGTTGTTTTATTTGTGGTATCTTTGTCTGATTTTGGCATCAGGGAAACTATGGCCTCATAAAATAAGTTTGTAATGTTCCTTACTGTTTAAAAAGAATTTGAAGAGGATAGGTGTTAATTCTTCCTTAAATGTTTGGTAGAATTCCCCAAGTGAAGACATCTGGTCCCAAACTTTTCTTTATTGGGAGGTTTTTGGTTACTGAATCACCTCACTAGTTATAGATCTGTTTAGATATTTTATTTCTTCATGATTCAGTCTTAATAGGTTGTTCAAAATTTATTTTAAAGAAATATATTTCTATAAATCTGCAAGATTAACTAATGGTTTAGAATGACGGAAAGAGAAAATAATGGGTGATGATTCACTTTTTTGTCTTAAACAACTAGTTATATGATGGTGCAGGAACCAGAATAAAGATTGAAGTAGAAATGGGGACATTAAAGAGTTAGTCTTGGCTGGGCATGGTGGCTCACGCCTGTAATCCTAGCACTCCGGGAGGCTGCGTGGGTAGATTGCCTGAGCTCAGGAGTTCAAGACCAGTCTGGGTAACATGGTGAAACCCAGTCTCTACTAAAATACAAAAATTTAGCCAGGTGTGGTAGCATGCACCCATAGTCTCAGCTACTCAGGAGGCTGAGGCAGGAGAACTGCTAGAACCCAGGAGGGGTAGGTTGCAGTGAGCCGAGATAGTGCCACCGCACTCCAGCCTGGGCAGCAGAGGGAGATTCCATCTCTTTAAAAAAAATAAAAAAATAAAAACAAAAGTTAGGATTTAGGTGTTTTAGACTAGAGATGCCCGGAAGATATCCAGAAACAGATGTTTACTGACAGCTACACATGCAGATCCAGAGCTCAGATACCCCTGAGCTAGAGTAGAGAGAGAGAAATTACAGAGTACATTTAGAGAGCAGAGAAGATGGCATAGTGGTTGGCTGAAATACAGTATTCACCAAGAGACAAGAATGGAAAATAAACCCAGAATACCTTCCTAGAACTAGATCATGGTGACAGGCTCTGATATTTGGGTTTTATTGTCTGTAAAGTAAAATTACAAAAAGGCTTTTTCCCCCTTTTGAATGACAGAATTGTTTATTCATGGCTATTTATTCCTCATTTAAAAGTAATATATGCCTAATTATTAAAAAAATTAAAAATAAGGAAAAGTAAAAATAAAATAAGAAGCCATAATTCCACCATCCATTTATAATCACCACTAAAATATGACCTATTCTTCCAAGAATTTTTTTCATATCCATTGTTGTATATATTATAAAATTTAAATTATGCTATATATAGTAATTCTATATCCTATTTTTTCAATTAATATTTCATCTATGTGACTAAACATTTGGCTATTAGATTAAAAATTCTTTGTAAACATAATTTTAATTGCAACATAATATACTGAATAGATATAAAATAATTTATAATTCAATTATTATTTTATATTTACATTGTTTTCAATGTCTTCTACGATATATAAACCTAGGACAGGTACTAGTATGTACAGATCTTTGCTCCATTTCTGAAATAAAAAATTTTGAGATCAAAGGGCACAAACATCTAAAAAGAATTTTGATATTATTGGCAAATTGTTTTTGGAATTGCTAAATCAAGGTATATCCCTAGGACATGAGCCTGCTCATTCACTGCATCTTTATTCTCACTGAGCATTATAGTTTTAAAAAGTATTTACTAACTTTATAGATTAAAAAAAAATACATCAATGGAAGTTTCTGTTTTCATGAAACTATGAGACAGGAACCACTCTCACAAACACTCCATTCCAGTAAATTCAAACTATGCCAATAAAGTGTTTAGTTTTAATAAAATCATCAACTATGAGTTTAAGCTCATAAAATACAAACAAATCTCTAATAAGACTACTCCAAAGCAACAGGAAAAACCTTATTTCTAGCAGTCTAAGGGGAAGATCTAGGCTACTGAAGGAAGCCCAACAAAGTGATGCTGAGTGTCAAGCCACATAACCTGCTAGAGAGCCTAAGGACTCATTAGAACTTATTAGCTTTCTGTATAGAGCAGAGGGGAAATGGTTAACATGGGAAACACAAGCAAGTTGCAATCTCTCTTCTCTCTCTACCGTTGCTGAAGAGATGAACAAAAGACATTTTTCAATTCAAAAGTCACCTGGAAACAGAAGTACTCAAACTCCAGTATCATAGAAAGAACTGCTTAGACATAAGTGTTTAAAGTTCAACCATTGCATTCAATGAGGAGTAGGGGATAGAAGAGTGAGACCAAGAGTAATCCTCTTCTTTCTTCTGGTGAATTTTAATCTAGGTGTTTGGAAATCTGTATTAAGAGAAATCTATATTTTCGTGCAGGCTGAGCCTTATGAATGTTTGGTTTAGACTGAAATAACTTGGATGTGGCCCCCACATTGCCATACGGGAGAGGCCACCTTCACGTATGCAGAGGTTTCAAGTGGCAGGTGTGGTACACCTAAGTACCTTTATAATTTTGGTGGCCAGCAACAGAAACACACACATACACACAAAAGCTGGAAGGGCAGACTCTGGCAGTACCCATTTCTAACACTATCAAAAGGAGGGAGAATCTTGGCTTTGGGACACAAAGCCCCATTGGCACGCTGACCCCATAGTGGACACACAGTCAGGTATTTGAGTGCTCACTCTATAAAGTACCATGCTAGAGATTAGGGTTCCTGATGAATAAGGCAGACATAGCCCCTGCTCTCACAGAACTGAAAAAGAGTAAACAACAGAGTATATAAAATATTTTAATTAAAATTTCATTAAGTGCTTAAATGAAAATGTCAGGTATAATGAGAATGTATAAATGGGCATAAGGGGTAGGGAAACCTATGTTGGGAATTGTAGAGGCTTCCTTAAGGAGGGGATATTTGAACTGAGCTCAGAGGATGAGGGGAATTAAACTGTCAAAGGCTACCCCAGGCAGTATGCACAAAGTCCTTCAGCAGCCCTTGGTGGAGAAGACCTCTCAGATGGTCTTCCTGTCCTCCCTTGTTCAGTTCCCATGCTTCTTGTCAGTCTTTCTAATCATCTGGTTTCTCATGTAAATATACTTGCAGATACAGAATGTATATAATACCTGTCATTCTAGTTTGTACAACTTTCTTTGAGCTTGGTTAATCAAAGTTTGTTCCCAAGGGGCAAACCCTCTTTGGGCATGTTAGCAACATCAATCAGGTTTTCAAACTTAGAAGGCCACACTTCAGAGCCTGCCCTCAGTTCTGGGACAGCAGGAGTTATGTCAGCCTTGTTCATCAGGATCTCTAATATCTAGCATAGTACCTTATACAGAGAGAACACTCAAATACTTGTGGAAGGAGGGACAGTTGGGGGACTAAGAGAGCATGGCGACTGCATGTCCACCATGGGGTCAGCCTTTTCGATGAGACTTTGTGTCCCTAAACCAAGATTCTCTCTCCCTTTGATGGTGTTAGAGATGGACACTGCCAAAGTCTTCCACGCTTGCTCTCCTATTTTTGGGTTTCTATTGCTGGCCAACCATGCCCCTCTAACTCTCACTTTGGGCATGCAATACCTTTGGTCAGGTTATAGTCTAATCACACTGGCCTAAGTTTCTGTTTGCTGAAGCAGCTTTGTATACCTCTGGTCTAACATCTAACCTAGTTTATTAGGGCCATTTATAATTTTCAGTCTTAGAGGGCAGCCTTATTTCTAAGTTCTTGGGAGTTACCACACTGTCAACCCCTGTAATTGCCAAACTGTTGCCTGGGTCATTAAGGACGGAGATGCTCCAGGATGCACGGCAGTCACAGGAGAAATAAGATAAGCATGTCTGCATGTGGCTAAAGCCTGTTCCTTCTTCATAAGAACAGAAGCTAGAAATGAAATTCTCATATTTGGCTATTTTCTCAAAATATGATATTAATTTTGAAAATTAAAAACAGAACAAGTGCTGGCCTGAAAGTCTGGGTGAGATCTAGACTGTTTTGATCCTGGCTCTGACACTAACTTGGCTGTCAGCAGGTCCTCTTTCAGTGTTAACTTCTGTTAAATAAAGGGGCTGGACTAGATGACTACTATAGCCATTTCTAATACTGACATTACATTATTCAATAATTATTTTTCACCTAAGAACTCTTTCTTCCCCAACTTCATAAGCACCCCAAAGATCAGTCCAGCTGCTGGCAGAAACCACCACATACTTGGGAATCTGGGTGAATCATCTCTAAATAAATCATAGAATTACCTAAGGACTTTTCATGATTACAAATGAAAATCATTCAGGAGATGAGCAGAGATTCTTGTGACCTGATACAAGCGAACAGAGCAGATTCTCTGACACACAGATCTTCTGGACCCTTGGTAATCACTGGATGGAGAACAGAGATGCCTGGGAAATCTAGTTACAACCCAGCTCTACGGTACTTTCTTCCTTTGATTTTCCCTAGAAGCAGGGTGCTTATAGAAATTATTTTTCATATGTAAAATAGTCAAACATTATAAAATGTTTTCATAAGCTTATACCTTTTACAATCTTTGCAAAAAGCAGTTCCCTTATCTATTCTTCATATTTGAGAGTTCAGCACCTCTCACCTCGCCCCTCTGCACACAGATCTGTGCACATATCCTGCCACTGGTGCTAATTACGATCTCAACTAGGTGTTCAGCTATAGTACAAACAAACTCATTTACAATCTGTTTATGACCAAAATAATCTATTTTAATTGGCTGGTATGTTAACTTCAAAGTCACGTTTATGTTTAAACAGTTTACAAATCCTGCTTAGAGAATGGGCATGTCTGATGAGGCCCTTCCCCACCTGATGGAAAATCACCAAAAAGAATAAAGACAGACCACTAAGGGGCTTACACTCCAGAGACACACATTTGTTTCTGCGCAGCAGCTGTGAAGACTGAGCAAAGCCATGTGAATTCCAAACGATGTATTCTATTACCTCAAATAGGATGTTTACAAAAAATAATGCCCTGAGATTTATCTGAAAATGGGCTTGGGAATGTTTTACTACCTACCTTGAGTAGTGAGACTCCACCCCCAGGGCCTCCCGGACACTGGCAATGTGCTGCTCCAGGGCTGAGCCGGTTGCTGTTGGAAGGGTTGCACTGCTGCTGGCCTGGAAGTCACTTGAGTTTTCCACTGTGTTCTCACCCAGGTAGTGTTCATGAAACTTCAGAATTCCTGAAGCAAAACAGGCATAGCTGACATTATACACAATAGGGCTAGGGAAGGGAGAAGCTGAGGGCAGGGGACAGGAATGCCAATGGTATGTGACTTCATCCTGCAAATCCTGTGAAAAAAATCCTGAAATCGAAGGTCTCAAGAGGGCTTTCTCTATTTTGGTCAGTACCCTTTTTACAGCTCTTACCATTAGGTATGGTGCTTGAAACCAAGGAATTCAAGATACAGCTTTTGCATTTGATGATATTTTCAGAAACTCCTGGAATTATGACTACTTCATATGTGTTTCAAAACAGATGCTTCCTAGAAGCACCAGCTAGGGAAAGTCTCCTTTCAGGAATAGTGCATGAACATGCCAAGACATATCCTTTATAGAAACTAAAATCCCGAAGAAAAATATAATTGGCCAAGTGGAAATTGTGTTCTAACAGAGTTTTCATTTCACAAAAGCAAATTATAATAAACATACAATATAAAAGCCAGATAAAAACATTTTAAACCATTTTTAAATAAGACTAACTGGTCAATGGTCATTAATGAATTAAAGAAGCAAAAAATGATGGATGCATAAAAGTGAGGCAGTCCACAGTGGTTTTCTGGCAATAAATAGGATATATTCTCAAATGGTAATGAGGGGTGTCAGCTCTGGAAAACGCCGATTCTCTCTGATTGGATTAGGGCCCCCAGTGAAAGCTTCAGAGCCTCATTAAGAGCAAAAAGGAATGGAAAAGAAACAAGAGGAGCCTCATTATTACAGGGATTCGGATATACCACCTGTCAAATCATGTCCCCAAGATGTAACAACCACAGAGAGAAGGAGCTTGATACCTCCCAGTCATCAACTGTGTCCGCACGAGTATCAGTGCCACTCTGGGAGCTGGGATCCACAAAGATTCCACTGTGACCAACATTTACTAACCAAGTCACTGTAAAAATCACAATTTAAAACCTTCAGCATTAAAAAGGTCAGCTGTAAGAACAGTCTTTGTGGAAAGCCCATAAAGGACATGGAACTAAAGGTAAAAGATTATTAAAAACAATGCCGAGGCATAGAATGCATAGGCATAAATGCTCATTGCCTAAAAGCATCTGGGAGCTGTCATCCAGCCATCTTTTTTTTTTTTTTAAATCAAAGGGATAGAAACACAATCAAGAAAATCTTGTCAATTCTCACTGGCAGTAAAAGTTTTTGAAACTGGCTTATAGATATTCAAAAAGTCCATTCTTTAAGATTCCCAATTATAAGATCCACTTCCCCAGTCAATAAACTCTAATTGGATCTGGTGTGCCTCCAACATGGTAAAGCCATCAGCATTTTATTATGCAAAAAAAATATGGCCCTAACAGCTAATCAGTGTTTCTGTATTTAGTGAAACTGTTACAGCCTGAACATTTAATGCTGATTTAATCAAAGGAGATTTTTACTTCTGAAATAGATTTACAGCAGAACTGGTTAAAAATGGGTTCTGTTAAACTCAGAAATTTCAAGCATAAGACTTATTTATAACCTGTGATAGAGTTGCCATTATCATTTTAGTCTCTTTAACTTTGCCATGACAAAGGGTCACAATTATTAAACCATGTCTAGAAAGAATTTGTTAGGACTTGCAGTCATCGCTTTATTCGCTAATGAACAACAGCTGCCTACACATAGGGCTGCTAGTGAAATTAATTCTTCTGCTCTTAGTCCTCCTTGATAAATGCTTCCACATTCAACAGTGAGGAGCAGCAATTTCTTGGGGGAATGAGAAAGCTGAGCTGTCTTATTAATTGAATGCCCCACCATGGCGTATCTACCACGGCTGAGGTTTTGCTAAAATCTGACATCAGTTCCTTAGTAAGATCTATGATAATGCAGTTCTTCCATCTCTATTCATTAGACTTTCACAGGTCTAGTCTTCTAATTGCCCTGTTCCCACAGAAAGAGATCTTACCTGCCCCAGGAGCAAGCAGCCAGCTATACAGATAGCCTGCGGCCAGGGAATAGTAAAGCACCAGTCCCCTCTGGCCATTAACCATCTCTAAGATCTGATCAATAGTGACTGGGGAGTAGGGGTCGGAGTCCTGTTGTCCTGTTTGTCGTTCCACCAGAAGATCAGCAAATGCCCTTGTCCGTCCCCTTTCCGCCACGGCCAGGGCTTCATCATGATGGCCTAGGAGACAAAGAGATATGCTGAGGAGTCCATAGCGAGTGTGCTTACTTAATAGAGGCCTATCAGGGACGGTCATCAAATCCTGGGAAGAAACCTCACTGCCTTTGCTCTCCAACATGTGACAGAATCTCAATCACACTGCTTCAGATTCAATTCCCTGCCTCAGATGGTGGGTGCAGTGTCCTACATGACTGATTCCACACTACCCTAAACCATTGAGTCTTCACCTGTCTTGCAGCCAGTGCCACAAAAGAGCTAATCTAATTCAGTCCACTTGTCTTTAGTCCTGCCCTTCTCTGTTCTACCTCCTGAGTTGTTCCCTAACCTAGCTTTTTTTTTTTTTTTTTTTTTGCACTTCCTGCCTGGCTTCTGACACCAGGTTTATTGGTGTCACTTGGCTCTTTACATTTTTTTTTTTTTGAGGTGGGGTCTCACTCTGTCGCCCAGGTTAGAGTATAGTGGCACAATCTCAGCTCACTGCAGCCTCTACCCCTGCCCTGGGTTCAAGCAATTCTCCTGCCTCAGTCTCCCAAGCAGCTGGGACTACAGGCATGTGCCACAGTGCCTGGCTAATTTTTGTATTTTTAGTAGAGACGGGGCTTTGCCATGTTGGCCAGGCTGGTCTCAAACTCCTGACCTCAGGTGATCTGCCCACCTCAGCATCCCAAAATGTCTATGCATCCTCTGACTCTCTCTCTCTCCTCCCTCCATGCAGCCCCTCTATGCATAACATTGTCCAGCCTTATCCATTTCTCCCCAAATTATATCTCCGTCCCTTTACACATGCCAGCTCCTCTCCTGGGTATGCCCTTCTCCCTTTCACTTGCCTTGTCTCAAGAAGAGGGATGCCAATATTTGTCCTGCCTATCTCAAAGGGCTATTTTAAAGATTAAATGAAGCACTACATGTAAAGATGTCTGGTAGGCCTACTTAAAGCACTGCATGTGTAACAGGTAGTAGTAGTGTTGTTGGGGCTGATACCTCATTCCATTCTGGGATCCAACACACTTTTTCCTTTATCCCCATGGGCAAAGAGTTTAAACCTCTCAGGTCTCCATTTCTTTAAAATTGCTTCTCTATTTCAAGCTTTTCCTGTCTTTTACTTGAAATTTGAATCCCACTTTCCTTAAGAAACTGGCCTATAATCTAGTTTAAAAGCTAATGCACCAATATGAAAGCACAAAAAATGTAAAGGAATTGTTTATAAATGCTGAAGGAACAAATGCAGAGGATTTACTTTTGTCACACATGTAAATATGGAAGAGTTACTAAAACTAGAGTCCAAAGAAAGCAGACAGAAGCAGGCCAGATGCTGCAGCTGTGACAGCACTTCAAGGATGCCTTGCTTCCTGCAGTTTGTGTATCAGAAGCAAGTGGAGATTTATATGTGTGTGTGTAAGTGTCTCCTTTTACTCTATTAAGTTATTAACTGGAACAGCAGGGACAATTTCTATGCACATTGGAAAATTGGTCCCAAAGTGCCAGACAGACTTAACACTGTGATTATAATAGATAATAAACTGTAATCCCAAGCAATGAACACATTTAATAGATACATTTTTCAAAAGGAAATTTGAGACTTCTTATACATACAGCAAAGGACAGGTTATCAAAAAGGCCTCAACATCCAAATTCAAAGCCTTTGATAGTTGCAATAAATATCTCCTGGGAAGAGGTAAATGACAGACAGGGGAGCTGGAAGGGACTGGCTGACTAGTTAAGGCTCAGGTGAAAAAGGATGCATGCTGCCCCAGTGTGATGGGGCACACAGGCTTGGGAGAATCATCACTGACTGTGCCACAGCCTAGGAGGCAGACCCAGGTGGTAAAAACATTTATTAAACAGCAACCTTGAAAGATGTGTGGCTGAGGAAAGAGAGAAAAGGCAGGTGTCTTCTCAGGTACTTCCCTTAGTCAGATGCTTGAGCCATGTGCTAGTGGTGAGAGGGAACCTGGGGAGGGCACACCTGGTTCAAGCATCCCTGTCTCAAGGACACTTTCTCTGCCTCCTGGACCCAAAGATAAGAGACTTTGTTGAACCAGGCAAACGACTTTGTTTCAGGCTGAGTGTGATGGTTCATACCTGTAATCCCAGCACTTTGTGGAGGCCAAGGCGGGAGAACTGACTGAGCCCAGGAGTTCGAGATCAGCCTAGGCAACATAGTGAGACCTCATCACTATTTTTTTTTTTTTTAAAGAGACTTTGTTTCCACAGCATTGGAGTTTATCTTAATGCCAATCAGCACTGTACTGGACTCACTGACTAAAGCCTTTCCACAGGCTAAGAGCTTCTTATGGTCAGGAACCAGGCCTTCTTGACTATAATCCCCAGGGCAGGCACTCAGCACGTGGTCAGAGCTCTACTAATCTTCGTTGAATAAATGAATGAATGTTCAATGACTGGTTATAGTTGTGGCTCCACAGTCTGTTGTCAAAAAAAAATCATTTCATCACACCTGTCACTAAACAACTTGGACACACATCTGTGCGCACCAGCACACACATAAGCAAGGAATAACCCCAGCTGTTCTCACCTAGGCTGACGAGCACCCGCTGCAAGGCCTGGTAGGATGATGTCTGTAGGTCAAAGAGGGAGAGTTTGTAGTCCGTGCTCAGCTGTGCCTCGTGTCGGATCGTTTCAAACAAGGCTGATGCCCTATAAAGCTGCAAGGAGGAAGACCATCATTCATTCTCCAGAAACCAATGTCCAGCTGTTTACAGACTAGAGACAACTGTTGCTCACGTCTCTGTGCACAACCTAAGTATTTTTTTAAATATTTGAAAGGAAGAATCTTATGTCCAGGTATAAGGAAAATGGATGTGCTGTGGTCAAGAATGGGCCGAGGCAGACATCCAGTCCAGCGTGACTCTGGGCGTTTGGAGCACAGGTGCACAACTTCACTCATTATGTAACCATGCCATGTGAGGCTTACCCATGTGAGCTCGTGCTTAGCTCAGAGCCACTATTGTCTGTAAAAGGTATAATTACCCTGCTAATGTTGTATATATGGCTTGTACCCACAGCTCGCACCTGGGCTCACTCACGCCCAGAGAGACAGTAGAGCCATGTTGAAACTGGCTATGATTCCTTGAGTGTTTTTCCAGCTACCTGCCACTTGCCCACTGACTTCCCTCATTAGAACCTGACACCAGGTAGGTCTTTGTGGACCTGAAAAGACATCAGATCATACCCAGTAAATTACAGTTTATATAATCCATTTTTGATGCATAACGGGATCTAAAAGACATTATAGACTTATGGTCTTAAAGATATTAAAACAGCTATTAATCCAACCAACTGCTGATTTTTATTAAAACAAAAAGCCTCTCCTCTTGTCATCAAGCAACCACAATTCACCACCGTCACGCCTCATGGTGAGGAAGGATGCGAGTGGGAACAGGTGTGATGGAGGCATGCTGGAAATGGATGAGGCTAAGAGGAAGAGAGCGCCACATTCTCTGGAGGGCAATAGCTCTTTGCAGATGGTTCCCGGCCTCAGGGTCGGATCACCACTGGGTAAGCTCCTCAAGGAGCCATGCCCACTCACATGGACACTCTGAGGACCAGACAGTTGCCATTCCTACGGAGACACTGTCCTGCTGCTCTAACAGGCTTCTCCATCAGTGAGGCCACAGACTTTTCTGACTCTGATGTTTTATTTTTCCCCCTTATGCCACACTGTCTAAGATGACTCTGATATTTATATGCTGGAAACTCAGTATCAAATTTTAAATTTATCCAAACTTAAAAATCATCAGAATTCTAAGACTACTTCTTTCTTGGCCTTTTGGCTAAGATCAAGTACAGAATTTTAAGACTAAGAGACATAGACCCAGAGAGTGGTAAGAGAATGTGTTCCTAACTCTGCCACTAACTCGCTGTGTGACCTTTGGCAAGACTCAGAGGCTCAATTTCTTCCTCTCTATAAAGAGGGACGTTTCTACCTCACAGGGTTATTTTAAGGATTAAATCCATTGAGGTATAATAAATACTTTCAAAATTTCAAATCAAAATATCAACACAGGTTTCACTTTTTATAACCAGGAAATTAGAAAATCAATCTTTTACGTCACCTTTAATCATTTTACAAGTACGGTAAAACCTAAGATTCTAGAATGCTATGGTGCAAATTCAGTCACGTGTCTTCAACTCTTGTGAGCACCTATTGATAGAAGACTTATCCTTGGTCCCCCTCTGCCTAGCACAGTGTCCTCTGCAGTCACCACTCACATGGTCGCTATCTGGATGAGCATGTGATTTTAGATGCAGCCATCTCACTACCCCTCCAACCTAACAGAGGAGACCATAACTCCAGGGATCTTTCTACTCTCCAGGGCCAGCATGACAAGGGATTTTCCTTCAACTACTTGCACATATGCAGAAACATGGCCTTTTTTTAAAACAGGGAGAGAGAGAAGTTATATCTATTAATATATCTAGGGACATTAAATCTAATAATTATGAATTCTTTTACTTCTGTCATGAAACGAATATAATTTTATTATTATATTAATGTTTAATGGGGAGCAATAGCACTTAATACAAGAATTCCTAAGAAATTATTGATAAATCTATCACACGAGTGAGCAAAAATCTTTACTGATTGTTCAATAGTTCTGGGCTGGTACAGGCTGGAAATCATACACATCAGCCCAAGGGTAGAAGTCAGTGCCTCTGGTAAATGCCATCACTACTAGGAAAGTAATCCTAAGGTCTTCCATGTTGCCAGAAACAAAAAATCCACTTCAGTCAGGGGTTCTGCTTACCTGGTGTTGGGCCTCCTCCAAGTTTCCACTAGCCCAAAGGGAGAGGCCAAGGCCATGGCGAATTTTTGCCTCATCTTCTCTTCGGCCCAGTTGCTCAGCTAACCTTAAACCTGAAACCAGACAGAGAAATTTAAGGAACCAGAGAAGACAGATAACTTCACTATCTTAAGGAGTCCTGGAGGGTCATTTTACTTTTCTGTTTTTGTTTGTTTTGAGACAGAGTCTCACTCTGTTGCCCAGGCTGGAGTGCAGTGGCAGCTCATTGCAGCTTTGACCTCCCCAGGCTCAGATGATCCACCTCAGTCAGCCTCCAGAGTAGCTGGGACTATGGGCACAGGCCACCACACCTGGCTGGCTTTTGTATTTTTTGGTCGTGACAGGGTTTCACTATGTTGCCCACACTGGTCTCCAGCTCCTGGGCTGAAGTGATCCACCCACCCTGGCCTCCTAAAGTGCTGGGATTACAGGACTGAGCCACTGCTCCCACCCAATTTTGCTTCAAGTGTCTATAAAAAAATGTTAACCAGAGTTATTCAGGAAGCTGAGGCTGGAGGACTGTTTAAGCCCAGCAGTAAGAATCTAGCCCGGGTAACTTAGTGAGACCTATCTCTTTAAAAAACAAACAAACTAACTAACAACATAGCTAGATAAAATGAGGACAAGAGCTGAATCAGCCCAGGTAGAATAAGCATTCTCTTCAAATTCTGTGCTGGTAGCAACATTTCCAGGACATTCCAGGTTGCCTCGGCAAGAGCTCAGGTGATGGCTATCAGCAGGAGACAGGTTTGCAGGGCAGACAGAAACACTAAAACAAGTGAAACCTAACCTGGTCACCCTCCTAGATTTGAAATCCATAGCTTTGCAAATGAAAACTCCTGGCTGATAAATTTATCTAACCTGATTCTTCGCTGGCAAAGCGCTTCCTGACAGTTAAATACAGAAGGAAAAAGAATACTTTTCCTTTCTCATGTGCATAGCATCCAATGAGTGTCAACAGAAGAAACACACGATGTTCTCCTGAAAGCAGAATATGAACACAGCCTGACCCTGCCTTCTGTTACTGATGCTACTGACACATTTCATGTTTAATCTGTTTTCCCTTTCAGTCTAAGACTTTGATGTGCCTCAGCGGGGTTGCAAAACAAGTGCTATTATGAGGCAAAAGCCTTAAATGAGACCATCCTCATTTTAATAGCCTTCAGATAGGCACCTGCAGTTTGGGTCACTTACCCACAGCAAGCTTCTGGGTTTCAGGACACCAGCAACCTCCAGGGCTTTGTAACAGTCAAATCTGAAGGCAACCATTTATTGCATTGGTCACTATGCAGTTCTCAGCATTGCTTTGCCCTCATTATCCTGCTCTCTGCACCTAGAATCTAGCTTGTGCAGAGACAGCATGAAGGCTCCCACCGTACAACTGCATATACAAAGGAAGGACTTCCTTCTTCTAATCTAATTCAGGGTAGATGGAAGCTGCCTCTGATCATGTTGGCCCTGTGCAATTTCAGACTTTTGAAAAGGAACTGAGGCTGTTGAGAGGGTAAGAAAAGTAGCACTCAGGTTCAAGGTCATATACATCTCAAAATGCTCATAACTCAGAAAACTTAGAAACATCATTTTAAGTTTAAATGATGCTTTGGATAACAAAAATATTTGTAAATAATTCACATTTTTAAACACCTCACAGAATGGAAAAACATATTAAAGAAGATGGTTCGTGGGAAAAAACCAGAAGGATACTGATTGCTTAAACCTTCAATAAGCTAACCACATTAATTCTTCAATACAGATGTCCCTGCTAGGTCGAGATCTGAGTCAAAAGTGAAATTCATTGAGACAACTCCTACTTAGAAGGAATGTTCTCTGAGAACAGGGACTTTGCTTTTTCCTGCTGTATCCTCACCATGCAGGACTCTGAGGTTCAACAATGAAGAGTTAAAAGCCCACTGGATAGACAAGGTATCTGTCCTGCCCCAGTTTCTATCTGCTTCTGGCTTTTAGGAACTGACTCACCATCCAGCTCTCCTGGAACCTATAGTTTGTCAGGGACTGGTCCCAGGCAAGTCACCAACTTGATCCAAGCTCCCTTTCTTCATTTGCAAGAAGAAGAAAGGCTGGGTGAGACCACTGGCTTTAACCAGAGGTGTCCCCCTCCGCAGCACCTGGAGAGCTTGTTCAAAAGACTCAGACCAGGCTCCATCTGTGAGAGTCTTATTGCACTGAAGCAGGCTGCTGCTGATCCACAGGCCCCACAGCCTCCTCCCCTCAGAAAGCCAGGAGAGAGGGAGCAGTAGGGTGGTTTCCAGATAAGCTAGTCCTTCATTGCCAGAGGCTGCAGACCTAACTCAGAGCATTCGAAAAGCACTGTCCAGGTGTCCTGCACTCATGAGAAGAGGCATCTGGTTTGGCCCATGAGGCAAGCCACCGGCTGCAGGCTCCCTAGTGGACATATCCACAAAACAGACACTGTAGAGGTGCTACAAATTAGAGTTTTAGATGTCTGCAAGACTTAAAAATTACAAGAAACAATAAAAATGAACTTGAGAATTTTCCATAAATATAGAATTGTGTTGCAATGTCTCAGGCAAACCAGCTGTTTCATGGAAGCAGTATTTCAGGAAGTACAAAGAACACAGCTGAAAAGTTGTCATATGACTGAATTTAATAGTTTTCACAAATTCAACTGAAAATTGCTCCTCGTCTGCTGGAATTTTACCACAGTTAAGTTTCAGGAAATTAGAAGCCAACATTCTCATTTAATGCATTGAGGCAGAGCCCCATGTGGGCAGAATGGGAGCCAGATAAGGTCTGGGAAGTAGCTTCAGACTTTGTAACCTCTCAGGCTGCAAGCCAGCACAGTCCCTGGTCCATTGCAAAGGAGACCAGTGAATCAGCCCTTTACCCATTCTCCTCTTTGTTTCCTGCTTCTCCCTCTCCTGGCTTCCCAGTGGGGGTTCAGGAGTAAAAGATGATAGGGTGCCCGACCCTGCTCTGCAATTGTAAAGTTAGAAACAACTTCAGAGAGGGTCTTGTGTGGTTTCTGGTTCAGAAAACCCAAGCTGGGTCCTATTCCTTGACTAACTGACCACATGATTAGGATAAAATCACTGTACTCCTCTGAACCTCAGGTGACTAAACTGCAAAAACAGGAATCAAAAGATATACCTCACAAGACTATTGTGAGAACAGAATCAGATTAAATATACTTTAAGTGCAAAACCCCTTGGAAGTGAGAGTTTTTGCTTGAAATCAGTAACCATTCCTTTTACCAGTGAGCTACCTGCCCGTTTTCCCTTCTAGGGTGGGAGGATCCAATGTGCCTGTGTGAGGGGAAGGACTTTCAAGAGCAGAAAGTCCCACCTCAACGTACAGAGGTGGAGCGCAAACGCATTGCTGTGGGACTTCAGCTTTCGGAGGAATGAAGCATCCAAGGTCCAACTGTGCAGCCTTCAGTTTCTAGGCTTGCCTAGAACAAGACCCTACTGTGGCACCAGTCCAAGCACTGTAGGTGACAAATGCTGGGAAGGATGCCTGGTTTACTACTCGAGTGACCCTCAAACTGATGCTTCTAGATTAGACTTCAACTGCCATGTCAGGACTGACTCAAGTTTTCATATAGTTAGATACTCGTTAGAGGGATAACAGAGTTTGGAGCAGATGGGCATTTTCTTCTGACTCAAACCCTTATAATTTTTTAGGATTACATCTTACTTGATTCGTCTGTGTGAGAACAAGTTACTCATTCCACAGAGGGTTCTGAAAAGCAAGGAGGGCATCAGCTCCTTGGGCATCTGGCAAGCAATGGATGCTGTCACTAAAAGAGTAAGACAATCTGGGTCCACAGAGAGCAGGGCAAGGTGCTGCGGACAATGAAACACCTTAGTAGTATCAAGGGACACCTGGTGGGGACACTGTGATTCTGGAGTTGAGCTGACAATGTGGCCTCTGAGACCCTTACTCCACACAGAGGTGGCCACTCAAACTGCGCATACTTCTCTCTGAGTCTTGAGTTCTGACTGAACTTGATTTCAAGCAGGCCACGAGAACAAAATGGGCCTTTTCACCTACCTTCCTGTAAGTACATGACTGCTTGGGAATAGTTCTGCAAGGCATGATGGGTCCTTCCAAGGCTACTATATGACACCGTCTTGGCCACCAAGTCATTCATCTGTGCAGCAATGCTCAAGTGCTGTTCTTGATAGACCACAGCCCTCTCGAAGGTGCCCAGGGATTCATAAGTCAGGCCCAGGTTCCCATAGGCTCGGCCCTGGCATGTGGGGTTGTTGGTTTCCTCTGCTATCTGTAGATCAAGCTGGTGGTACTGCAGGGCTGTGTCATACTCCCCCATCTGCTGGTAAACGCCCCCCAGGCCACAGGCTGCGTCACTCTCCAGGGCACGGTCTTTCATATCTCTAGCAATGTTCAGCTGGCGTTCAAGGCAGGAAATGGCTTGTTCGTAATTCCCTAATTGGCTGTGCAGACTTCCCAGCTCTCCATAGGCCTGGGCTTTATTGAAGGCCTCCCCGAGCTCATGGGCAACCACGAGCCTCTTTTCAAAGCACACAAGGGCTTGCTGCAAGTTCCCCATTGCCCTGTGGGGATGTAGACAGAAAAGCAATGATATTATTTTGTGCAGGTGCAGACAGGCTAAAGCCCCTGAGAAAATGAAAAGCATTTGTCACTGTCACTTACTATAGAAGCTCTTAACTCCTCTTCTAGCTAAAATCTATCATGTGCCCTTAGAGTGAGATGCAGAGGAATTTCATAATCTGAAAAGCAATTCAAAAGTCATCCCTTAGTGACCTTCCCAAGAGCTTGAGATTCAATGGGATATACACCCCAGAGGAAACATAAAATATATTAATAGGCACAATGATAGCAAGTGAACTGTCTGGTTCTTCAGGCCTCCCTATTTCCACTACTGCTTAGACTATGATTTTGAAATCACTTTACAGTGGCTATAAATCTTTCACCCTGAGCTTCTCAGAGCATTCTGCAGGTGAAGATTTAGTTTGACCCTTGCCCTTCCTCCACTCCAGGAGTCCTAATCCCCTCTCTGGTGGGGCCATATATTCTGCAGACACAGACACCTTCTTGGGTTCCCCACATTTAGGAGAAAGTATTACCTTGACCAACAGTGTGTCCTTTTGTGCTGCTAAGAGAAGACATAAGAGTGGGGAGAGCAAGACCAAACCAGTTGTGTGGGGCACATGAATTCATTCCCCTGAGTCTCCGATTCTGGTGATAATAAATCCCACATCCCACAGCAGATGATAATAGACGTAGAGTTATACGGAAATGCTATAACTATTAAGATATCTGTGCAAGGGACCTAGCATGATGCATGCTACATAGTACATTTATTCATTCCCCTATTATCAGGTGGCTTTTCCGAAGAGCAACACAATGGGGTCTAAGTAATTGTTAGGTGCAGATGCTGTATTAATAAACACATTCATATAATGTGGGAGGTATTCAGAAAAGATCAGTGAAAGTGACTCATTCACCTTCTCCATCCCTATTATCCTTCTCATTATATTGTAGTCAAAAGGCACTGCATTTGGAATCACAGAGCCCTGGGTTTAACTCTCAGCTATCCCTTTTAAGCTGAATAATCTTAGGCATTAACTCAATTTCTCTGGACTTTATTTTCTTTGTCCATAACATAAGGGTAACATCAACTACTTAATTCAAACAACTGTTGGAGAAATCAGATGAGACATGTATGAAAATGTTTTATAGTTAACAAACTGCCATGCATACATGAAGTTGCCATTACTGTCTCAAATGCTCTTTGTGTAGAACTATAAATCACATTTGTCCTTGGTCATTTTTACCTGTGTCCATTTCCCAGGCCGCGGTAAGCCTTGGCTTGGTCTTGCATGCGATTCAGACTCTGGGCAACAGATAAATATTGTTCGTAGTATTTGATAGCTTCCTCATAGTCACCCAGGGCTTCATAGCAATCCCCCAGGTTGCCATAGGCCCGGCCCCTGTCGAGCACAGACTCATTTCCACTTAGCTGCTGCAGCATGGCCAATTGCTGCTCAAAGTAGCCAATGGCTTCTTCCATCACATTCATGTTCATCTTTGTGATGCCCATGTTGCCATAGACCTGGGCTTCCAGACTCGGATCCTTCAGCTTTTGCCCTAGATCCAGTTGCTCTTCGTAACACTTGAATGCCATTGTGTATTTCCCAAGGGCCATGTAGACGGCAGCCAGGTGCCCATGAGCTCTGCACTCCCCTGGCAAGTCACTCAGCTCCTGATATACCTCCAGTTCCTGTGTGTGATAACCCAGGGCCTTGTCATACTTCTGAATCATTCGGTATGCAGTGCCCAGGGCTGCATATGCACTGGCCTCTAGTCTTCTATCCTTCACCTGGTGAGCTAAGCCCAGCTGCTGCTCATAGAATTTTATTGCACCACTTATATCTTTTTTACAGATGAATATATCGCCCAGGTTGCCTAGGGCTCGAAATTTAGCCTGGGAATTATTCAGAGACTGGGCTAGGGACAGTAGGTACTTCTGACACTCTTCAGCTTTACTGAAATTCAGCAGAGCCTTGAATGCTAAGCCCAAATTGCAGTAGGCTTTTGCTTGGCTCAACTTGTCGTGAAGGTCTTTGGCCAGTGCCAGATCCTGCTCGTAGTACTTCACTGCCTCCTGGTAATTTCCAAGGCAGTAATGGGCATAGCCAAGGTTGTGGCAGACCTTCCCTTCTCCTTCCATGTCTTGAAGGTCAGGAGCAAGCCGGAGATACTGTTCATAATAGGGGGCAGCCTGGACATACTCTCCCCGAGAGCAGTGGAAATTACCCAGGTTGCTGAGGGCCCGGGCCTCGCTTTGGATGTCTCGTAGCTCCCGGGCGATGTTCAAGTGGTTCTGATAGTGTTGCAGGGCTCGGTCATGGGCACCCAGCGCCTGGTAGGCCACGGCAAGGTTCCCATGCGTGGAGGCCTGCGAGGCGCGGTCGTTCACTTCCATGGAGATCTGCAGCTCCTGCCGATGGTATTTGACCGCCTGGTCGTACATGCCAAGAGCGTTGTAGGCGTTGCCCATATTCCCATAGGCACGGCCCTGGGCAGCATAATCACTCAGCTCCTGAGCGATGCACAGATGGGCCTTATGGAGTTTCAGTGCAGTATCATAATCGCCTTTCATCTGGTGTATGATTCCTGAGAAACAGAAAAAAAGAACAGGCTAAGACTGAAATAACTGATTTGCAATGTAGAAAGAAATGTAATTTGCATCTCAATTTATAGTAAAATGCAATCCAGATGAATTAAAGAATTTAAAATAACAGAAGGTAGAATTAAATATTTATCAGCTCTCCAGAGGGAGAATAGCTTAAGTTCTAAAGCAACAGAAAGAAACATTTACAGACTTTATTACAAAAATAAGAATGTTTGCACTACAAACACATATCTAAAATTAAAAGGCAAAACAATACTGGAAAATATATTAAATATAAATGAAAAAGTTCAATAGCAATTGTGTGTAAAGAGTTTACTCAGTTTGATTTATTAAAAATGAAGATCCAATTTACTAAAATAGGCAAAGATCTGTTAATGTCAGCAGACAACTCACATTCAAAGAAATACAAGAGTAACCACAGGGGAAAATGCTAATTTCATTTATTTTGCATTTGCATCAATGAAATGCAAAATAAAGCAACCCTGAAGTGCCATTTTACTTCAGCTAAATTAGCAAACAAAAAAATTAACCATAACTCCTACACTGATGAAACTGTCCTAAAATTGGTAAACATACCAACTGCTGGGGACATAAACTGGAACAACCTTTTTGCACAAGCAGCATGGCAAGAACCACGAACGCTCCTACTGTGACCCAGCAATCTTACTCAAGGGAAAGTATCCCAAGAAAATCATCTGACAAACACAAAAGCTTGCATAACAATACACATAACAACCTTCAATATGGCACTATGGACTACCTGAAAATCAGAAACATCTTAAATGTGAAACACTGGAAGATTGCATAAGTACATTTTGGTATATCAACTCAACATGGGATTATGCAGTCATTAAAAAGATAATTATGAAGTCTATACTGAAAAGTGGGGAAACAATGTTATTGTAATCATATTACCTGGAAAAATCAGGAAAAAATGCGGCATACTCCTGTGCCAACAACTAGGAAAATAAGTATGTCCACACACATGAACAAGCTCTTGATGAGCTTATGCAAAAACAAGAATAGTCGCCTTGTTAGGTGGTGGAATTTCAGTAATTTTTGTTCTAAAATCTCTTGTAATTCTGCTACACTGCTTTTACAATCAACAGTAACAGTGTTTCAAACAAATATCATAAACCATATTATAGCTGCTAAGCTATTATTTTAACAAGCAGTTAAAATGAGATATATCATAAATGTCCTAACTATAAATTTGTTTCAAATAAGGGATAGCATAATGGTAACTTGGGAGCTGGCTTTAAGGAGAGCTTGGTCCATCCTAGTTGGGGCGAGAGTGAGGGCCACCACTAGAAAGGGTGGAGAGAAGCCAGTATGCAAACAGTTCTCTCCTTGCCTTTGGTTTTGAACATGCTTTTCCATGCATCAGTGTGTGAACTTTCCAATGGTGACTAAACCTTACAGAAGCCCCAAAAGTTGAAATTGCCAAGATGTGTTCTTATTAAAACATCTGAATTAAAAACAGAGGCACTGAGAAAGAAATCTGTGAAAACTTAGCCTCCACAATTTGTGCATCTCTCTGACATCCTATTCATTCATTCACTTATCCAGCAGACATTAGCTGGGTATTTACTGTATATTAGAACTTCTGGTGGGCAGCAGGGGTAGGAAGAAGAGTGAGGACAAAGGTCTCTGCCCTCAGAGAGCACAATGGGTCAAAAGGCAGACAGTACGCATGATCAAGGCTGAAGTCAGGGCAGGGCAGGAGCTGGGGATACAGTGCAGGGTGAGTCTCGGGGGACCACTCTGCTGGTCCTGACTCCTCCCTTGCATGATGTGGAGATCTGCCCTGCCACAAGAGTCATATGCAGTCCTGGGACCCAGCCATCTCTTGGACTTAACTGGACTTAAGATATTGGGTAAATCATTTAGCCTTTTTGAGTTTTACCTAGTTCATCTATAAAACGAGAAAAATAATAAACATAACACCAACCTTAGGAGATGACAGTGTCAAATGAAATAATGTACGTGCAAGAGCACTGTAAACTACAGAGTGAAATTGCAATATTAGTTATTGAAATTATGTACTTCCAGGGAAGGAAATTCTTGAGGTGGTGGAAATTAAATAAACCATGATAATTCTTCTGTATATTTTTTATGAGTAAAATATTTCATAATTCAAAAATAACAAAATCATGGTACATTTATACAATGGAATAAACATGGTGACATTAAAAATGGTGAAGGGCTGGGTGTGGTGGCTCACACCTATAACCCAGCACTTTGGAAGGCTGAAGCAAGAGGACTGCTTGAGCTTAGGAGTTCAAGACAAGCCTGGGCAACACAGGGAGACCTTGTCTCTACAAAAAATTTAAAAATTAGCTGGGCATGGTGGTGTAAGCCCGTAGTTCCAGCTGCTTGGGAGGATGAGGTAGGAGGATCACTTGGGCTCAGGAGTTCAAGGTTGTAGTAGGCTATGACTGCACCACTGCACTCCAGCCTGGGTGACAGAGTGAGACCCTGTCTTAAAAAAAAAAGATAAAGTCAGTCAGGATCCAAGATGGCCGAATAGGAACAGCTCTGGAGAACAACGCAGAGGGTGAATGAACACCACATTTCCAAACGAGTTACTACTGCCCATAGACAAGGAGATTCCCAGGCTGAAAAGCACCACAAGTTTCCAACATGGCTGTTTCAGCGGGCACAGCAGATCTCTGCACAAAAACTCACACAAATCAGGGCGGCCATTTCAACTGGCGCCTGGAACACCTGGGAGACACAGCCGCCCATTCGACTGAAAAAAAAAAAAGGGGGCTGAAGCAGGGAGCCAGGTGATCTGGCTCAGCAGATCCCATTCCCACAAAAATCCAGCAATCTAAAATGCTCTGGATTGAAGTTTTGCAGCAAGCATAAATGGACCCAGGAAGGTCCAGCTCTGTGGGGGAAGGGAGTCCACCATTACCGAGGCAGTCCGCCGCTACCGTGGCAGTCCACCATTACCGAGGCATTCTGCCATTACCAAGGCAGTCCACCATTATGGAGACAGTCCACCATTATGGAGGTAGACTGCCATTACCAAGGCAGTTCTAACTATACCTCTGTAAACAAAACCGCAAGGAAGTTCACATAGCTGCTGGGCAGAGCCCACAGCAGCTCAGCAACGCCTCTGCTCGCAGATTGTGACTAGGCTACCTCCTCACTGGGCAGTGAGGGCACCAGCATGTCAGGAACTTATAAATAAAGCCCCACCTCCCCAGGAAAGAGCACCTGGGAAAAAAAAGGCAGTTACGAGTTCCGCTGCAGCAGACTTAAATGTACCTGCTCAGCAGCTCTGAGGGAACAATGGAGCTCAGAGTTCAGCATTTGAGCTCCTATAAGGGACAGACTGTCTCCTCAAGCAGCTCTCTGACCCCCGTATATCCAAAGAGATACCTCATAAAGGAGAGCTCAGGCTGACTTCTGGCGGGTATGCTTCTGGGACAAATATAACAGAAGAAGAGACTGGCAACAACCCTTATTGCTCTGCAGCTGCTGCAAGTCCCCAGGCAAGCAGGTTCTAGAATGGACCTCCAGCAGTCCTACAGCAGAGGAGCCTGACTGTTAGAGGGAAAACTAAAAAACAGAAAGAAATAACTTCATCATCAACAAAAAGGACGTCCACTCAGAAACCCCATCCAAAAGTCACCAACTACAAAGACCACACGTAGATAAATCCACAAAGATGGGAAGAAACCAGCACAAAAAGGTTGAAAACACCCACAACCAGAACGCCTCTCCTCCTCCAAGGGATCACAACTCCTCACTAGCAAGGGAACAAGGCTGGATGGAGAATAAGTCTGATGAATTGACAGAAACAGGCTTCAGAAAGTGGGTAATAACAAACTTCTCTGAGCTAAAAGAACATGTTCTAACCCAATGCAAAGAAACTAAGAACGTTGAAAAAAGGTTTGATGAAATGCTAAAGAGAATAAACAGCTTAGAGAAGAATACAAATGAATTAATGGAGCTGAAAAACACAAGAACTTCAAGAAGCATACACAAGTTTCAATAGCCGAATTGACCAAGCAGAAGAAAGGATATCAGAAATTAAAGATCAACTCAATGAAATAAAAGAAGGCAAGATTAGAGAAAAAAAGAGTAAAAAGAAATGGACAAAGCCTCCAAGAAATATGGGTGAAAAGACCAAAAAATTAGGTGAAAAGACCTAATCTATGTTTGATAGGTGTAGCTGAATGTGATGGAGAGAATGAATCCAACCTGGAAAACACTCTTCAGGATATTATCCAGGAGAACTTCCCCAACGTAGCAAGGCAGGCCAACATTCAGGTCCAGGAAATACAGAGAACACCGCAACAATACTCGTCTAGAAGAGCAACCCTAAGGCACATAATTGTCAGATTCAACAGGGTTGAAATGAAGGAAAAAATGTTAAAGGCAGCCAGAGAGAAAGATCGGGTTACCCACAACGGGAAGCCCATCTGACTCACAGCAGATTTCTCCATAGAAACCCTACAAGCCAGAAGAGAGTGGGGGCCAATATTCGACATCCTTAAAGAAAAGAACTTTCAAACTAGAATTTCATATCCAGCCAAGATAAGCGTCATAAGCAAAGGAGAAATAAAATCCTTTACGAACAAGCAATTGCTCAGAGATTTCGTCACCACCAGGCCTGCCTTACAAGAGCTCCTGAATGAAGCACTAAACATAGGAAGGAACAACCAGTACCAGCCACTCCAAAAACATACCAAATGGTAAAAAGCACAGACACAATGAAGAAACTGTGTCAACGAATGGGCAAAACAACCAGCTAGCATCAAAATGGCAGGATCAAATTCACACGTAACAATATTAACCTTAAATATAAATGGGCTAAATCCCCCAATCAAAAGACACAGACTAGCAAATTGGATAAAAAGTCAAAATCCATCAGTGTACTGTAACCAGGAAACCCATCTCACGTCCAAGGATACACATAGGCTCAAAATAAAGGGATGTAGGAAGTTTACCAAGCAAATAGAGAGCA